CCAGATCCGTCGTTCGGCTCCGCAGTTGCTGTCATGTCATATTATCCACCAAGAGCATACGCAGGATCTCGTCATACACGTATTCGTGTCCGATCTACTGACGGCTTCCACGACAATCATGCCCGGCGGGACTAGTACTCGGGTACTCAACCCTCAGGATTACTGGATCGGTCAGGATTTCCATCGTTAAAATTATGGGTGGACACATGTTCTCGGCACATCTTCAGGCACGCAGTCACGGGTGAAGTGTCCTATAGCATGACCGCAATAATCCTGTTTCTCGTACCATGGAAGCTTCGAGGTGTGCTGATCGGATGATTCTTGCTGCTTTTCCTATCGTCCCAGGGGAAAGGATGGGTGAGGAGGCGGCCAGCTCCTGAGACTAGTGTTGAGTCCAAAACCAACTAGTGGCTGTCGTGAGATGCACCACTGGCGCTGCTTTCACGACATACATGCAGGGTCGGAAGGGAGAATATACAAAGATAGTCATATCAAGCGCCCCAGCCACTCCGCTCGATGCAAGCCCCGAAAAGAACACATCATACCGATGAATGCTGCTGCTGCAAGTATAGTGTCGTTGAGTTACCGATCGACCAACGGCTGCCGCAGTCGTGCGCTGGTCCAGGGAAGGGTACATGGAGCCTCAGATTCGGGGTCTCCGTGTTGCCCCTGCGATTTTGATGGAAATGGGCAAAGGGTTGCGTTGCTCCTCGATCTGCTTTGGGACAAGGTCACGAGATCGCGCTGAAGCGTGAGAAGGGGTTGAGCTCGCTCTCTTCTTCACGAGTCTCTGCATCTTCGCATCCGAGATGAAGCACTGTTTCAACGGTCGAGTACTCTCGGCAATCTAGCAGTATCGTGGAGCTGTTACTGTACCATGTTGAACATACGCTATGGAACCGGTCTCACGCTGCTCTTCCGGAGCAGAACGCTTGTCGCTGCCTAGCAACCAACGCCTACACAATATCCAGATCTCCAAAAGTGTCTCCCATTCAAGTAGAGAATCTTCCTCCATGCCATCTCTTGATTTTACAACCGTCTCAATCCTGACCTGCCCGCTTTAGAGACCTTTAGATGATGTATAGTAAGTTTATGATGCACCCACGTAAACGCTATTGACCCAATACGAGTCGCTCTCATCTTTTACTTCTCATGTGGCATCCCTTCACAACGCTCTTTCCCTGGCCGAATCGTTATATGATATACCAACCTCTACCCTCGAAAGGTCCTGCCAAATTGAAGCCACAATTGGTCCACCTTCTCAGCAGCCATGTTCAAATGTGACTCAGTTAGTTCTAGACGAGATGAATTACCCATTAGAGACTCCATGTTTCGACTTTTTCATATATGCCTATCAGACCACCCTGTTGGCCCGACAAGATAAAGGAAATGTAGCAGGCTTAGATGTGATAGTCAGCCTTTAGTAGTGACGTGCTTGTATGAAGGCATATCTAATAGCGCGAAAGCTTTACTCGGAAAACGAGGGAGTCTCTTTTGCCGAAGAAACATACAGCAGGAAGAACAAAAGACACATTAGGTGACTTATGTGAACGGTGATCTGATATGTTGATCGTGACAAGAGCCACATGATGCCTATACATGTGCGCTCTTTTACTACTATCCAATCTCGTGGAGTGAGGCTTAATGCTGGCCATCTCCAAGTTAACACTCACCTACGCAATCTACTTTACCTTCGATTGGATATGCATGCGTCGCATATCAAGACATGTCTAAACTACATTCACACATACCAATAGTGCGCAGTAGAAAATGTCGTATTTATATGGCATCTTACGTGTATCTAGAAACTCTCGAGAAATCTGATGCACTAGCATACCAGAATATGTCAACGCTTATGTAACTGTACAGAGCGTTGCTGAGATATAACAAACATTTGCAGGCCTCAATCCCGGAGGGATTCAAATATGGCAAGCACTGCATTCAGCGCGTCGGACTGAAAACTGAGACTACGAGCAGAGTACTTTTCCAGTAAACCTATCCCCTTGCTCAACGCAGAAGCGTTTTTTTTTGGTTAGATGTGGGAAAGGTGAACTTGAGGTTGTTGACGGACGCCTCGCGGCCACTTGAGATGAATTCGTTTTCCGTAGACTCATTACAAACGAACAAAATTTCGTAATCTGTGAAATACAGTCTTCTTCGAGAAAGGTATCCTTCTTGAAGAGTCCTGACGTCACGTTAGCCTTTGTGAAATATCTTTGGGCTCTATGAAGCACTGGAGTCACCATGCGCGAGTAGACCATGTGGAATATTCAATTCGTGAGGCGACTGAAGAGGCTTCCAATTCGAATCCCAAAGTCACGGGGACGAGGTCAATGGATATATCAGGGAAGATACGTTTCCGCCCTACACCAGGTAATCCATACGTGCAATCTTCGCCAGCCGTTCCGATGAGGGTGATTTGAGCAGAAGAATATATGAGGTCCATTTGTCGGATTTGTATGTGTTTGTCCCTGGAGTCATGTTGTTGCACACGCTGAAATGATGATCAGTCAAGAAATTGTGAAGAAGGGTATGTAGTCCGTACGTATTTGTCCACCCAAAGGTATTGGTAGCCAAGAACCAGGGTTGTAGTGATACTGTCCTCGATTGTAGCGGGTAGTTTTGCCTTTAGATCGTAGACCTCTTGCAGCGAAATGTTGCCGGCTTTGCCCCAAACATAGGACAATGCAACATAGTCACATTTCTCAGGCGCCAGAACAACAATTCTCTGGATACAGTCGATCACCCTTAGACCCTGCAATGTTTCTTGCTGCCTAAAGGTGCAACGATTGTGGGAAGCTGAGCAGTCTTCCGTCCAGTCTCTGACCCATTCTAGATCAGACAGTGGGGGGTAGCTCTCAACAAAAGACGACGTCAGAATGGTCAAACTAGTGCCAAACTTTCGGGTGCTGCAATCAAAACGAAGGAGCCCAAAGATCGAGACCATTCGAATATGGGTGACTCCATTTCCCGTGTCCATTCTCCAATCTTCCCAGAGATTGCTATTTCAATTGCTCGGCAGATTCCGCAGGCAGAAGCTTTCATTTCTTTAGAGCTACTGTCAAGCTTGAAAGAGTCGTATTCTTGATACTCTGGCCACTCGAAGCGAAGGCACGAGTCTTTCCATGCAAGCCGAGTCGCCTCTTTCTCCTCCTCATTAGCAAGGCATTTTTCCATCTTCGAGCACATTTCCACACATCGATCGCAGAACGTGCTACAGTTGCTGGGAGTCTTTTCTCCGTTGTCAAAAGAACTGCGACGCTCGTCTACTGTGGGAGATAAGTCCATGGCTGAGGGAATTTCGCGACAAGCAGCCGAAAAGGGCGCGTGAAGCAAAACAAAACTGGATGCGTCGCTCGACTCGCGCCCTTGCGCCGATATGTTTGGAAGGATTCCTGGACTGTTTTCAGCTCGAGAAGAACCGCGAAGAAGGAGGCTGTCGAGAGTATGTCGCAGCAGGAAAGCAAGGCTGCCTCTCTATTACAGCTCATCCTCCCGATAGGCGCAAGTCCACGTGACTCTTATCATACGAATCCAATTGGATAGCTGACTTCTCCCGGCAATAAACACGTGCAGATGTACGACGAATACATTGCGTCAGTCTGCTACAGATACATGAGATCGTGTAACTTCGTCTGTAGTCCAATGTAGGCTAATCGACATGTAAGCGCCGGATGTACCAGTGGACCAAGGCTGGACCCCAGTACGAAGAAGCTGCATCCTCCAGCCTCGACATCGCGGGTAGAGATTCTCAGTCTACCAGCATCGTGTGGCAAACAACCTTAGGACGGTCGACTGCCAACAGGTAACCATTTATCGGCTTCTGGGTCAGTTTAAATGTCCCAGTAGACATACTACCTTGACTTCTGATCATGCGACATCAATGCTGCACGCCGCCGACGAAGTGCAAGAAGAGGAAGTTGGCCTGCATCCGCTGCTTCATTGCGCATGCGCCATGAGCTGATCGTAGTTGAGTAATACAGCTTTTTAATTGCCGCACGCGACAAAGTCATAAGCCTCCTCTCGTTGCGCACGTTGCTGAAGTCGCACGCCGGGGTAAGATGAGAAGAGTTGACGGGCGGCACGTGAACGTTTGGAAAGGGTCTCCCCAGGTCCCATCGTACTAAGTTCTAACCGGATGATATCAGTATAGCGTATGCATTCCCTGGCTTGCGGCGGAGTACATCCCGAGGCACGCGTGCAGGAAGGGCCGACCCACGCCACGCTGACAGACAGGCAGCAGGAGCGAGGGTAGTTCAGTGGATACCCAACTAGGTCAGCATGTCAGTTTGAGACCAACCCACTTTTCCTTCACACCAAATGCACGTGTACGGCACGACCCAGTGTGGAGCAAACGTATTTCATTGACGACTTTTCTGCATACAGGCAGCTTTGGGTACACATACACACCCTGTTTTCTATATCTATGCTTCCCCGGAGAATGATAACACCTTGAAATGCAGTGAATGACGCAGTGAACCGAGTATGGTCCAAAAAACAAGTAAACATATACACTGAAGCCAAACATAACCCGCACAGTCTAATCTGCGTTGCACTTCCCGGAGGAAGTTCAGCCGATAATCCCATGAAATTCTGCCTTGTACTGCCGCCGTGCGTAATTGATGAATGGTCCGTTGCCCCTGGCAGATGCAATTGGTGAGGTGATGTGTCTAATGCTTTTTTTGATGATGAGAAAAGAAATCGTGAATACCGCCGTGTGTGATTCGTGACGCCTTGCATGCCGGTTGGCCGCAAGGCTGGCTCCGGGAACTCCGATGAGAATGCATCGCCCAGCTGAGTTCGACTCGTGCTGGGCGAGTTTGCTGAAATTTAATGAGTCTAATGGTTTGGATGGTAGAGTGATGTAGATCTCGATGATAAAGTGATGATACTTTGCTGTGGAGCTGTACTGTCGCATGTACATGGAGTTTGGATTGATCCTGATGATGCTTGAGGACCGATTCTGGCAATGGAGTAGGAATGAGCAAAAGTGGTGGCGCTCAGATTTCGTCGAGAGGCGTGAAAAGACGTTTCATGTTTAGCGTCAAGTCAGCGATGGCGTAGTCGTCAGCGATGGCAACCATGGAGCCGATCTCGATGCCTTTCTGGGCGGAGTCTGATGCAACGTAATGTCTGATCTGTTTCAGGAGATTGAACACATGCCGGCACCGAACATCAGCAGGAGCGGCCCAGTCGTCTGGTCGAGACTGCCGCAAGAACGCTTGAGCTAGGAAGTAAAAGTGGATGCCGTCTCGGCAGAATCCACGTCGACGCTGGTTCTGTGTGAACTGGATAGCAAGGTCCTTGTCCCAGCAAGCCTTCCATAGCGAAAGAGCGCCGACCGTCGAACGGAGCTTATTTTGGATTTGCTCATTGACGCCATTTGGTGGTGTGGCAGGACTATCGCCTTGCGATCGGGGTGTGCTTGTACCGCTCGAAGACACTCGCTGGAGCAGCTGATGCTGGATGTTGTAGATTTGAGCATGAATCGCGTGAATGAGAACTGGAGACGACGTTAGAGGGCTGTTGTCGACGGCAGACAGAAAAAACTTACTGAATTTTCCAAAGACATTAGTAGCCCGCTCAGGAAATTTTCCTGGACAGGCCCCATTGAGTACACACAACGCCTCGCACAAGGCTAGTTGTTTTGCGCGTCTGCTTCCCGATTCGTTGCTCATCTGCGCTGACGATCCTCTCAGACCCAGAGCACTGGCGCATTCTTCAGAAGTCTTCGCTTCCCAGGCTGCATCATCGGCCGGCAGAGGGACTGTGATGCTCTTGGCGTCGAACCTGGGCTGTGTGTTGAAGAATATGGTGGAAGAAGCATCGATAAGATAAATGTATGCCGCCAATCGAGTTCGCTTTTCATTCTCAATCCAAGAGTTCCAGTTCCACGAGTCCACCTCTGCACCTGTTATTGGTCCAGGTTGGTGCAACGCGCTCGCATTCGGATTGTCTTGAGGAAGAGGTTGGAATAGTGCCGCACAACGTGTAATGTTGACCACTGTCCGCACCTCATCTCGCACTTGTTGACGTTGTTGCTGGGACCCGTGCCATAGGAACTGAGAGTGAAGGAGGACTAGTGCTTGTATCTCCTCGGTAGTTGCAGTCAGCTGATGGTTCAAATCAGCCATCTGGTGCGCCTGCGCCAGTTCGTGAACATGACTAGATTTCAGCATGCTCTCTCGCACACGATCCATCAGCCATCGGACATCCGAAGGGCGCATTCGATCAGAATACACGGCGCCAACACAGCACATCGCCAGAACAAGCCCAGGGTTGGCGGAAAACGGATCAAATGTTGCAACGTGTATCAAAGGCCAGTGTGATTGATAGTGTCTGTATTGGTGTAGGAAATCCTTTACGTTGTCTCCAGTCAAGATAGTCTTCAGCCTTTCGTGAGCGTACGCCTCGTCTGATTGTTGATTTGAAAGTAAAGACGCATTCGGAAAGCAAAAGTTGAAAAGCGATTGTGCCAGGTTGTGCAGAGGATCAGACGTGGATTGGCCAATAAACCAGTTGTCAAGCATCGGGGAAGAGTCGGCCAAACTGGGAACATGCGAGTATAGTCCAAACAAAGTATCATGTGGTGTATCATCTGAGGTCTAAAAGTTCCGGTCAGAACTGGGCCGATTTTTGAAAGGTTGGGCCACCTGCCGTACTGGAATTATTCATATCGCCGTTGAACGATCCGTTTCGCCAAAGTGAGCCATCCTGGCCGTTGGTCATGCCGTCCACGTTGGGCAGGGTCGATGCTCCTCCGTACGAAGCTGGGTCCGCGGCCTCACTCTTAACGGTCATGCCATTCTGTGCCATCGAACCGTTGGTGGAGGCGTGGTCATAGTTGTTGTAATGGGAGTTGGGGTCGGATCCGTTGGCTGCAGGCTGAGTCTGCTGTTGCTGCTGCTGTTGCGCGTAGCCATTGGCGAGACCGTCGGGCCGGTAGTCGTTGAAGTTCATCCTGTTGTTCGCGAAGTCCATGGCCGACATGCTCCTACGATGCGCGCTGTCCTCTACTCCACTGCTGGGGCGCATCAAGCTGTTAGAGCGAGATGTGCGCGCCGACATGGACTGGTGATGGTTGGCAAGCGAAGGTAGGCTGTCGTTGAAGCCATTGCCGCCCATCGCCGGCATCTGAGGCAAGCCCATGGTGTAGCCACCAGCATCTGCGTAAGACATGGAATTCGCGCCAATGTGGTTGAGGTACGAGTTCTGGTCCGCGCCGCTGGGCTGCCTGTTCTTCTGCAGATGTTGTTGCGCGTGCTGGAGGTGGTTCGCGCCGGTTGGGTTACCCCTTCGTATTGAGCACTTTTGGAAGTGACGCTTCAGGATGTCGCTTCTGCTAAAAGTGTCCTTGCAGAGATGGCATTGGTAGGGCCGCTCGCCGGTGTCTGTGTAATGTTAGAAGCGGAGCGCGGTTATGTGGAGGCTAAACTTACGGCGCAACAGATGACGCTTGAGATGCTTCAGGTGCAGGTACGTCTTGTTGCAGTGAGGACACTCGTATTTGCCCTCGGCATTCTTGGTTGCAGTGGTGGGAGTCTTGCCTGCAGCGGGTGCGGGCCTACCGGGGTGCGTGGGCAAGACTCCGCGACGACCTTGCTGACCGACGACGTGAACGGGTTCGGGCTCCTGGTTGGGGAGTACGGGAGGGTGGGCGTACATGGACGTGTGTCCCAGTCCCATGCCAGGAGGGCCGCCGAGCTGGTGGCCGTTGGTATGCGCAGATGCTGTGGACAGCATAGGCGCCTGCGAATAAGCCGACGACATGGGCATGTACGAACTCGGCGTGGGCTGGAGGGGTCGCAGCGGCGGGTGCTGTAGCGGAGGCATGGTAGAACTGCCATTGGCGGCCGAGGTCACAGGCGTGTGCGGCGGCTGGGGCGTGTGAGGGTTGCTATTGTGGCTGTACATGGGCGCGTACTGGCTGGCGCTCTGTAGAGGCGGCAGGGTGGGCAGCTGGTTGTTGTTGCCATTGTACTGCTGCTGGCCTATTGATGGGTAGCTATTGAGGCCAGGCTGACGGAAGCGGTCTGTGGAATCCATAGTGAAGTTATTGGTGGGTCGAGGGTGAGTGAAGTGATGGGAAAGGCGCGACCAATTGTTAGTCGTGAAGGGACCATTCGACGGAGCTTAGGGCGGAGTAACGTGTGCAAGGCTGGCTAAGCACACCACGAGGGCCGTTAGACGGACGTCGGGATGGAGGAACGATGGGCCACGAAGAAGCTTTACAGGTGGAGCCGTGTGGGGGACTGAGATGGCCAGTCGATACGCGTCGGCGGGTACTCCACGGGTGAGGTGGAATTGGGGAGCCCGCAGTGGGTGAGACGACGAGGTGATGGGTAAGAGGGGCGGCGATGTGGAATGGAAGAGTTTACCGGCGACGATGGGTTTCTCGTAGCTGGACTAGCAAGAAAGTTGCGTCGGTGGTTTGCCTGGCTCGCGCGGCAATTCACGCGAAGGGACAAGGGACCTGCTGCAGATCGGCGGCCCACACACCCTTCAGCCTCAGCCGATTGATTGCGGATAGACCAAGTGGAGAGCTGTAAGCACGAGACAGGTACGGTAGACCCACGACAGGAGTGAGGGCTGTTGGGGAGCTTTGGTGGAGGGGAGAAGGTGGCTCGGGGTAGAGATAGCGGTCGGCGAAAAAAATATGCGAGTTCTGCTGCGAGAAGTGCCCGTCTTCCGCACCACGTAATTCCTGTTTCCGCGCTGCTGAATGCCGGAGCTTGCCGGACGTTGATAGCGAGCAGATATGGCTTGTCAAGAATAATGTGGGTGGCAGATACTGTGAGGAGGCAGGGGAGGCGTCGGACGCGCAAGAGATTTCTGAACAAGGTCTGTCGCGGCAAGCGCGTCGGGGTGCCTGTGCAGCGACGTTACAGACTTAGGGCGGGAATAGTAGGTGAGGACAGTGGGAGAGATGCAGGACCATCTCGAGACCCCGACTACGCCTAGGGACTAGGGACTCGGGCACGGCACGTGATGACCGAGACTGATGACTTTTCGCATACGTGAGATGTTCGTATTGTGTGCACTGCATTGGAGCGCGTATGCGCCGCCCGTTGGAAAAAACTATTACCAATGACGACAGCCGTTCGTGGGCTAACGGGCCAGGACCCAATTGCATGCACATGCACAGATGCCTTAGATTCCTAGTCTACGCGCTGGCCGGAGCCCTTGAGTCGTGCCCACCTCCGAAGCTGGGTGCGTGTATCGATGCGTATCATAGCCCTCCCGTATGTCCCCCGACCTCGTCCATTACCATGGCCCAGGAGTTTCAACCACGCCACGGCGCGGCAATCGATAAGGGCAAGAGCCTCATTCCACCATCGCCCGCACCGTCTTTGGCGGTTTCACTTTCCAGAACCCCCATTCCCATGGTACCTCCCAGTTGCTCGTACGTACTGTCGGCGCGCCTTAGTCTGCGTGACTTGTCAGAGCCACCGGATCGGTAAGGCCAGCGAGCGCGAGCAAGCAACTCATCCGAGCATCGACCCGACAAAGGCCGAGCTTCACGTCGCGTTGGCGGCTGTGGCTTGCTGGGGTGTTATATCCGTCCATGAAACCAAGCGCACCCGACGAGCTTCAAGCCCCAGGAATGTTTCCGCGCAGCTCTGCCAGCGTGTCCCGTGCTCGCAACACTCTGCTCGACGTCTCTCTGCTCTCTCCGAGCCGTCGCTGGCGGGAGCGCTGGGCCAGTGGCCGCTGGCAGCCGCCGAGCGCGAGGTGAAAAGTTTCGTGAGCGTGACGTATGGCTACCCGCAAGCAGCTAGCGCGCAGCTGGGATCCCTTGACGGTAGATTGCAACGGCGTCCGCCAAATCTTCGGCTCGCCAGATCCTTCGGCTGTGCGACCCTCGAATGAAACCTCACGTCTTGAAACAGCTCTGCGGAATGGATGCGCTGGAAGGTCGAGGCGCCGGGCATTCAAATCGAAACAACACACGCTGCAGCTCCAGAGACGACAGCAATGCGCGACGTCTTGTTGGCCGCGATCGCCCAAGGCGAATATTGTTGAATGCCTCTCGTCCACTCAGCTTACGTATCACGACTTGGAACGCCGCTAGCGTCTTCTATCACGATGCCGCTCGGCCTTGAAGCTGACGGTGAAGGACGCTCAATGCGGCATACCGCGTGCTGCTGCTGACTCGATTACAGCACCAAAAGTGACACGCATCCAATGCCTGCCAGCTCAACTCCTTCATAACTGCGCACCCTCTGCCCTAGTCCGCTCTTGTGCTGCCGTGCATATCCTGCATCTATCTGCCTCTTTTCGAACGCGCAATATGTTGTCAAGAGATTGTGTGCACAAAGTCTTGCCGTGACCGTCGCTTGAGAGCATCCGATCTTGACGTTGCATGCTTGGCAAAGTACAACGCAACCTTTTGCGGAAGAATTTGCCGAGGCTTTAGAGTGCAAGGTGATGGAAGAGAAATTTTCCTCGGCAAGCGGCATGCTGTCACAGAGACCGATGGCGCGATGCTTTGTAGTTGAGCTTAGACGGCGTCGTGGCTTGCCAGAGTGCCGTTAGATGCAGATGAGCCAACCCCCCCACGTGTTGTGCGCTATCCCACATCGCTCTTCTGTATCAAACTCCCGGCATGCCAGCAATTCTTGCAGCTTGCGCGCCATGCCATCCGATGCGACACCGTGCGCTCAATCGCTCTCAGGGTTTCGACGGCACCCCTAGGCGTGCTAGGTGGCCGCATCTGCGCTCCCTGTACGCGCAATGCTCCTGGAATGCGCACACTGCCCACACGCTCTGCATCGTGGAAGTTGGAATAAGCTCCAGTCCCACTTGCGGTTGCGCTCCCGAATCTGGGTGTGGATGATACCCGAAGGTGGGCATCAAAGTGGGCTGTCCGCTTGACGCGCTGCAGTGATTCCCAAGACGGCAAGACCAGCGACATACAGGCGGGATGTCTATGTCGTGCAGCAGGCTCTGACCCGCCGTGGCTTGACCGTCATGCACTCGCTGAGTTTCAACCTCCTGTCTTGTGAGGTCACGCCGCCGAGAGAAAGACCGGTGAGGCGCTGGGACAGGCTTCCGACGTCAAGATAGCGTATCATACAAGTCATGGAACCAGGGTCCTTGACCGGACGAACTTGGGACTGTCCGCCGACTTTGC